AGCCAAAAGAACAGATTTTCAGATTGTTAAATAAAGGATTACTCTGACTGTGTATGGATTGCTTTTCTTTTTTTGACATGAGGAGTTGTCCCTGCCCTGCACACTGTTCTCCGCTTAGGTAAGGTCATCGATTCTGCCCCTGTTCAGAAAGTTTTAGTCACATCCTTGACCCCCAGTTGGAATGATGCCAGGGGCCACAGGCTCCTTTGCTCAATCCAGATGCCTTAAGGCAGGCCCCCTGCCCCCACTTTCAGCCAACAAGCAAGTACCGGGGAAAGGGGTTACATTTTAGAGCCATTGCCCACGTTTACAGCCTGCTACTTGGTGCACATGAGTATATGAGCAGGCTGGAGAGAGAAACGGAGCTCCCAAATGAAGGGAAAGAATACAACCGGAATGATAGGGTGGAAATGGCACAGAATTTAGAATCCAAAATCCTGGATTCAAGTCCTATCATTTACTTCCGGGAAAACGTTAAAAATGCACTTTGACGTCCTGCCACCCTAATAAACACACACGTGCCAGTGCTTCTCCCTCTTTGCTTCTGTTCGTGGGGTTGCTTCTCCCTCTTTGCTTCTGTTTGTGGGGTTATGGGCAGTGTCCCAACTCATGCAGCCACCCAGCAAGCATTTGCCAGCCCCTGCTCTGTACCAAGCACCATATGAGGTACCAGAGAAACAATGACAAGGGGAAAAAGTGACAACTTGATGGAGACAGACTATTGAGCAGGGAGCAGAATGGACAGGATTTAGGAATGGGTTAGAAGAGGACACATGACCAAAGTTGTAAGGAATTACTCTGGGTTAGGCTTGAGAGACTAGGGTTTGGGGGTGCCATTCTCTGAAATGGTGATGACAGGTGACGGGTGTCACTACATGTGGGTTCTCTGCTTGCAAACAACAAACTTCCTGATCAAGCAACAAAGAATACGTTGGAAGGACACTACGCGGCTCTTAGAGCTGAAAGAACCGGGATGTCCGTTGCAGGAATGTGTTGGGTTGCCCTCCAAGCAAGAGACTTCCACCACCTCCTTCCTCTGTGTCCCTTCCAGATCCAGATGCCCTGGAGAAAGAATGAGACTGGCCCAATTTACAGAGATGCATGGTAGTGTCTACAATGACCGACCAGTGGTGGTGGTGGGAGGGTGTGCACGAGGAAGCTTTCAGAGAGATGGGACTATTCATAATGCTGTAGTGATTGTTTAATGAGTACACTGTTGAACAACACATATCTATGTGTCAAACTGATCACATTACACAGTTAATTGTGTAGTTGACTGCATGTCCTGTATAAACACTGGATACAAGGAGCTTAAGAACTTGCAGGATTTTCCAGTAGATGCGTCCGTCAGGGAGCTGGAAATAAATTACCGTATTTTGGAATCATTCTTCCAAGATCTAATCCTACTAGTCTTTTAAAAACCTTCAAAAGATTTCTACTGCTGAAATGGAGAAGAGGTTGCATGCTTCCCTGTGAAAGCCCTACTGCCTACATTTTAATACCTTTCTCATAAGGCAGCCCATTCCCTTGGTGCTCAGAATCGCGGCTGGGAGTGCTACTCCAGGGGTATTGGCAGGGTGGGCGAAATGCTGGCAATCAGGCCCCCAGCTGTCCATGGCCTTCCGGGACCTGCTCAGAATCACCCTTCCATATTCATCCAGCAAAACCCAATTCAAGCCTTTTCTCTGCAGGGCTTTCCCTCCTACAAAAGGAGTATGCCAGGGAGGACTTCTAGGGACTTAACAGTCTGATGGGGGTCCAGGGGAGACAAGCACCCAATGTAACTGCTAGGATAGAGGCACGACAAAAGTGGAGACATTTACTAAAATGTGAGACTGATGCTTCATGTGCATATGGCCCCACGGAAGATTCTGGGAAGGCAGGGGAAGGGGCCAGCATGCTGGGCATAACTAGAAATTTGGCTTATTTAGTGTAGATAGTCTTGGCTAGGAATGAAGTTGTTTACCCTGATTTACAAGGTGGTGAAGTTGGGGCTCCTTGGTCGCTCAGTCAGTTAAGCATCTGCCTTCGGCTCAGGTCATGATCCTGGGGTCCTGGGATGGAGCCCACATGGGGCTCCCTGCTCAGCAGGGAATCTGGTTGGATTCTTTCTCTCCCTCTCCCTCTGCCCCTCCCTCTGTTTGTTCTCTCTCTCTCTTCTAAATAAATCAATCAGATGCTCTGTTCATTAGGTAGACTGCTCTCCCTCTGCTCCTTCTCCTGTTCTCTCTTTCTCTCTCAAATAAATAAATAAAATCTTTTTTTTTTTTTTTTTTTTTTTTAATGGTAAAGTTGTCCAGGGGAAAGGCTAGGATTTAGAAGACTGCCATCCTGTGGCTAGCACAAGAAAGAGCTAGAAGCCAATAAATTGGGCAGAGATGAGTATCTCTTACTCCCTGCCCTGAGGCCCCTGAGGTCTGTTGACAGAAGGATGGCTGCTCCAGTTTCTGAAGTTCAGCATTGAAACCTTGGAGAACACTGCTAGTTCACCACCACTGAGCCTCCATTCATCATCTGTCTGTATGCACCTCCTTATAAAATTAATTGCAAGAACATGCCCCAGTCCCTGCCTTCCGGCAATCTGAAGGACAATATTGATAGCTAGAGAAAACTGGAAACATGACACAGCCAGGATATATAGGATACACCAAAGAACAGCATACACACACTGCCGACAGTATTGCTATTCTATGCTAAATTAGGTGCTGAGCATATGCATACTGGATCTTACTTGTCTGCATATTTACACTTTTTAAATGAATGGTATGTGCCAACAGGGATAAAATCATTGTACCAGCATACCTTTAAAGGTTATATTTTAAAGAGAAAAACGTTACTTGTGAGTGATTAACCATCAAATTGTGAAAGTAACAGGACATTTCAGTAGCCAGTGGAGCTGGATGGCCTTGAAAAGTATGCAGGGGGTCATGATCAGCATGTCAGTAAATGCAAGCATTTGTCCACCTTTGGAATTTAACCCTTAGGATTTGAATTTCCTTTTATCTTGCATATTCTTGTATCTGAGAACTGGCCAGCCTGACCTCTTTTCTTAACTTGCATACATCTTGCCTACACGTTACTTTCTTTGCCTTTCTTGGTTGGATTGGTAGTTTTCCCACATATGGGCTTCCTTCCTCCTCATTGATAACTACTATGCCTTTAAAAAATACATTTTAAAACGATGAATTTCATGAACTTACTCTGTTTTTTCCCTCTGGTTTTTACCAACCAAATATCTTTAGGAATGAAAACAAACATGCTTTTATTTTTATTTATTTCAAGATTTTATTTATTTGACAGAGAGACACAGAAGGAGAGAGGGAACACAAGCAGGGGTAGTGGGAGAGGGAGAAGCAGGCTTCCCACCGAACAGGGAGCTCGATGCTAGGTTCGATCCTGGATCATGCTTAATGACTGAGCAACCCAGGCAACCCCATGTTTGCTTACTTTATGTTTTCGTTTTTCTTCACGACACTATGCCTCTATTCTCTGAGATTTTCTGTCAGTCTTTGTTCCCCAAACAAACATGCACCAGACCTGCCTGTCAATCTATATAAACATTGATTTCCAAAACTAGAGAGCTCCTCACAGGAATAGGTAAGCAAGGAAATCTCTATCACTGGCAGAATAACCACTTGAGTGCTAACCCTAAATAGGAAGCCAAGATAAAAACAGCTAGCCTTGGGCACCTGGGTGGCTCAGTGGCTTAAAGTCTCTGCCTTTGGCCCAGGTCATGAACCCAGGGTCCTGAGATGGAGCCCCACATTGGGCTCTCTGCTCAGTGGGGAGCCTGCTTCCCCCTCTCTCTCTCTGCCTGCCTCTCTGCCTACTTGTAATCTCTGTCAAATAAACAAATAAAATCTTTTAAAAAATTAAAAACAAAACAAAAACAGCTAGCCTTTTTTTTTTTTTTTTAATTCATTTGACAGAAAGCTGACAAGTAGGCAGAGAGGGAGAAGCAAGTCCCCTCTGTTGAGCACCATGACCTGAGCTGAAGGCAGAGGTCAACCCACTGCCTGGTGGCCCGGGCGCCACCGAGGTGCCCCAAAACGGCTAGCCTTTAATGAGCACTTACTATGTGCCAGGTAAGGTTCTAACGCTTTGGATGTATTAACTCATTCTCTCCCCCACTAACTTCATGAGACAGCTACTGCCCTAGATAGAGAAATGAAACCCAAGTGGCTTGTCTGAGATCACACAGCAGGGCAGATTCCAGAGCCTGTGTTTATAGTATTACATCCTTAGTCACTGGGTTCATTAATTTGGAAACATTTCCTGCCACGGAGAAGTGAGTCGAGATGGCTCAAGTACGGCACGATTAGCAGTTAAAACTGAGGTGCTCACCACGTGCTAAACGTGTGGCTGTGACATCGCTTCATTCCAGGGATGAGGGAACAGATTTTAGAGATGTTAAGTCATTATTAGCCCAAAGCACCGCTCTAACGAGCGGCGGGGCTGGGACTGTTTGAATCAAAAGGCCATGCCGCTCGTGACCTCTATACTCCACCGCCTGAGAAGAACTTCAGACGAGGAAGATCCGGATGGGGCCCCGGTCCCCTCCCGCCAACCCGCCCGGCTTCCCCGCCGCGGTGCGCCTACTGAGTTAGCTTACGCGCCAAGTTTCTGGACACCGACCTATCTACGTAAATGACATGCAAACGCACGTAAATGTACTTTCCACCTTTGCTGGAAATTCAGATTACGTCTATGGGGGGCCAGCGGACAGATCCCAGTTATCCCAGTTCCGATCCCACGCCGTCTGCCGCCTCGGCGCGAGGGAGGAAGCGGCTCCGGATGGAGAGTAAAGTGACAATCGGACAAGGAAAAGCAGCCTTTCCTCCCGGGGGAGCAGAGGCGGCCAGCCGGGCAGAGGGAACCTGCAGAGGGCGGTTTCTCTCCTCTTTTCCTGTCCCACCCAGTCGGCCGGTCCCTCCACCCCCACTCCCGGCCGGCCTCCGCAGCTCGCTCCGCGCGTCCGCCCGCCGCTTCCTCCCGCTCCGCGTCCCCCGGCGGCTCTCCGCGGCTCTCCGCGGTTCCCGCCCCCGGCCTGTTCAAAAGGCCGCGCGGAGTGGCGCCGGGCCCTCCCCCGGCCGCCCGTCCGACTGGTAAGGTGAGCACGCGGAGGAGGGCACCTGGGGAGGGCGAGGCCCGCACGCACACCGAAGTCCCCTCGGCCACGGGAGCCACGCGAGCCCACGGCCTCCCGTCGCGGCCGCTCGGAGCCGGCTGCCCGGACGGACGGACGGACGGCCGCGCGCGGGCCGCGGGCTGCCCCGGGAGCCGGGTGCCGGTAAACGCCGGAGGGCCGGGGCGGGGGCGGGGCCGGGGCCGAGACCGGGTCTCCCGGTCCTCGCCGCGCCAGCCCCGACGTCCGCGCGGGCCGCCGAGTCTCCGGCCGGGCCCAGTGGGGTCAGCGCTGCTGGCCGGCCGGTGGGGTTCGGCGGGCGGCGCGGCGGGCAGGGAAGGGCGAACGGGGGGGTTGGGGTGGGGGGAACGGGCCGGGGCCGCACAGCGGCTGCTCGGGGACTGGCTTGAAGGGGACGGAGGCCCCTCGCCTCCCTTTCCTGTGTCTGGCTCCCCGCCCCCAGGCCCCGGCCCTGCCCCCGCGCGGGCACCGGAGCCCGCGGATCCTGCCCTCCCGGGCCTCTCCTGACCCCTAGCGGACGGCTGCGCGCAGACGCCTGGCTAGGGAAGAGCGGCGTACCTGTGCCTGCGGCGGGGTGAAACTGGGTCCGCCGCTCGTTTGCATACCTTCGCCTACTTTCTCAGGTCGGGAGAAATCTCTTAGGTAAATGTGGGGGCCAGGTGAAAGGACCTTGGGGTAGGACGTTCAGAGGCAACGCCCTACCAAGTACCAGAGGTCTCGGCTCTGCTCTTGGTACCTGCAACCGGAGGAGATTCTGAAGGAAACCAGAAGAGAAGGGTTTAGGACTAGCCCCATGAGGGAAGGAATCCGAGAAAACCTGGCCCCAAAGGCCTTCCTGGGACTTCAGTGTCTCCAGCCCCGAGTAGGGGCCCACCCATCTCATGCCTGTCTTTGTCCCTCTTCCTACAGATCTGCCTCTCCCTGTTGCCCATCCATTTGCTGCAATGACTAGCCTGCTAACCACGCCTTCTCCAAGAGGTAGGTGAAGGCCTTTCCCAGTAGGAACGGTAGAGACTTGTTAACATTCCCCCACCTCCAGCCAGGGCCTGGAATTCCCTGAGGCCTCAGCCCAGATGGGGTGACCCTCCCATTTCCCTGTGCCCGCTTCACACCAGAAAAGGTCCTGGGAAGCTGCAGAGGGCAACAACCAAAATGCTTACTTTGGTTCAGTTTGAATCTGAAATCACATGGACCTGGGCTAGTTCCCAATACTCCCACTTAAAGCTTTGTGACCTTGAGCGAGTGATCCACTCTCTAAGCTACAGTTTTGTCATTGGTAAAATGGGGAAAATGGTACCTATCTTATGAGGTTATACGTGAAGACTAAATGAGATAACCCATGTACAACACCCAGCCCCAGTGTCTCATACCTAGTAAGCACTCAATAACATTGGTTGTTACTATTAACCGGTGCTTGTTAGAGATCCACCTTTTCCTCGAAAGGAATTTTACCTGCTTTTTAATTCCACTCCTCTGATGATACACTCTAGCATCAAAACCCATTGTTATCTGGGGCTATGGTCAGGCAGGGATCCACCTCTCACCACACTGAGAAAGAATTGCCACTTACTTTTTTTTTTTTTAAGATTTTATTTATTTATTTGACAGAGATCACAAGTAGGCAGAGAAGCAGGCAGAGGAGGAAGCAGGTTCCCTGCTGAGCAGAGAGCCCTATGCGGGACTCGATCCCAGGACCCTGGGATCATGACCTGAGCCGAAGGCAGAGGCTTAACCCACTGAGCCACCCAGGCGCCCCAGAATTGCCACCTTTTGTTCAGTAACCAAGCTGAGCCAGACAGACCATCAGACAGTCACTGATGGTTTTCGCTGTGTACTGTAGGGTAAGGGAGGAAAAAACCTTGGTTGGTCTATGCACCTGTGTTTTCATGTACACAGCCTCGTTTGTCATTCATTGGGACACACGTTATCTACTATGTTGATGTGGAAACAGGTGAGTGACAACCCCAGGGAAGTTGAAGACACTGTCCTCTATGACCTTGATGCACATCATTCAGAATGCCCATGGTCCAGTGAGAAACGAGAAGATGGAGAAGTGGATAGAAATCTAGATTGGTCAGCAAAGGCTTCATGAATGGGGAATGGAATGGGCTGGAGCACTTAACCCTTGAAGAATAGATGAGGTTTGTACAGACCAAGAAGGGTGCAGTGGCTGTTCTGGGTCAAGTTAATGCCATGTGTAAGATCACACATTCCGTCTTCCCTGGAAGGTGTTCTGGAGAAGGCAAAGGACTCTAGAATAAACCTACCCACAGGGAAAAGAGGGGATGCTTCAGCAGCTAACTGAGGAGTTAGGACTTGGGCAATTTCTTTTCTTTCTTTTTTTAAATTTATGGTGAAATATACATAATATAAATGTTACCATTTTAACCATGTTTTGGTAGTTTGGTGGTATGAATTATTAACATTCACTCCGTTACCATCACACGTAACCAACTACCATTACCATCCATCTCCAGAACTTCCTCATCTTCCCAGACTGAAACTCTGTATGGATTAAACAATAACTCCCCATTCCCCCTCCCTCCAGCTCCTAATGACCAGCATTTCACTTTCTGTCTGTATGAATTTGCCTGGGTACCTCATATAAGTGGAATCATACAGTATTTGTCAATTTGTGTCTGGCTTTTTCGCTTAGCATCTCAAGTCTGTCCCTCTGTAGCATGTGTCAGAAGGTCCTTTTTAAGGCTGGATAATATCATACACTCCTCATTATATATACATGTACTATATCGTTTTGTTTATCCATTCATCCACCAAGAGACTGCTTCCATCCACCCTTTAGGTATTGTGAACAAGGCTGCTGGGAATATGGGTATACAAATTTCCTCTCGAGTACCTGCTTTCGGTTTTTTCGGGTATGTACCCAGAAGCAGAATTGCTGGATCACATGGTCATTCTGTTTAATTTTTTGAGGACCTGCCGCACTGTTTTCCACGGCAGCTACACCATGTTCCAGGCCCACCAGCAGTGCACAAAGGTTCTGATTTCTCCTCATTCTCACCAACACTTGTTCTGTTCTTTCTCTTTCTTTCTTTCTTTGATAGTAGTCATCCTCATGGGTGTGAAGTGCTGTCTCTTTGTGGTTTTAATTTACATTTCCCTAATGATTAGTGATATTGAGCATCTTTTCATATGCCATCTGCATTATTTCTTCTTCCTCCCCCTCCCGCTCCCTTTCCTCCCCCTCCTCTTCCTCCTTTCTTTTTGTGTATCTCCTTTAGAGAACTCTCTATTCAAGTCCTCACCCACTTTTTAACTGGCCAGTTTTGTTGTTATTGTTTCTCATTCTGCTTATTTCTTATCCCAACCTCATGAACAGATTTTAATCCTCATTTTACAGAAGCAAAAACTGAAGGATTTTGTGCCCAGTCTTGATTTACCGCACAGCCTGTGTTCTTTCTGTCATGGCACACGGCTCTCAGTGGGCTCTGCACATGAAAGAGAAGGAAAGAGAAAGGAAGTAGAATTCCAGGGCGGGTTCCCATGGAAAGGAGAATTGAGGGAGCCACCCATTGTTGGGCAGGTCTAAAGCAAATAAGTAGGTTGGCAGACTCAGGTGGCAAAGGATCTGATGCCTCAATGATAAGAGATTTAGCCTGAAAACAAGGGCCTCAAAGAAACCAACAGGTGTCTGGGTTAACAACGACCAAAAAGGTATGTAAGCAAAATAGATCTTGAAGTTCATTTGCTATTGGTTAGGATTTGGGTGGAGCCTCAAATCTTGCTGTGGTCCTCTACCCCAAGCCCCCCGCCTGAGAGAAAAATGGTGTTACAATCCTTCCAAGCCCAAAGAGAGGGAAGGAAGAGAGTAACATTAGTATTCCTTTGTTTGGGCAGGGAGACAGGAGAGAAATGGTGTAGGACCACCATGTTTATGGTGTTCCTATTTTGTTGTTTATTTTTTCATTGCAAAGCTATTACATGGGGGCGCCTGGGTGGTTCAGTGGGTTAAAGCCTCTGCCTTCAGTTCAGGTCATGATCCCAGGGTCCTGGGATCAAGCCCCGCATCGGGCTCTCTGCTCAGCCTGGAACCTGCTTCCTCCTCTCTCTCTGCCTCTCTCTCTCTGCCTACTTGTGATCTCCGTCTGTCAAATAAATAAAATCTTTAAAAAAAAAAAAAAGCTATTATATGCCCCCTTAAGGAATTGACTTCTAGACCTTTTATATGTATATGCAGACATAATATATGTGTGTATGCATGTGTTTATAGTTTCACTTAATTTACTTTTTTTTCAAACATGTAATCTTATTACACGTTGCTGCCCTAGTAATTTGCTTTTTTCATCTCACCATATATCCCGTGCCAGTAATTACAGATTTACGACATTCCTTTTGACAACCGTATGGTGTTTCCAGAATGAATGGCCTGTAATTTATTTAATCATTCCTCTGCTGATGGACATTCAGATATGTGTGACTCTTGCAAACAGTGCTATAGTACTTTCCATTCTACAGTGAAACTCAGGGAACCAAACCCAGTGGACACATAAACTAAAATGGTTAGCTGAGGCAGAGCAGAGATATTTCCAGAACCTAGAGAGTTGATGGTGTGTGGTGGAAAACACCTTGGAATGAGGAGACAGATTCGAAGCCCAGCTCAGCCAATAGCTCAGTGATCCTGGGCTGGCTGATGGCAGTTTTCTGAGCTTGTACATAATGATAATACCAACCCTGCTTACATCACCAGGATGGAGTAGAGATAAAATAATCTTTAAAAAAAAAAAAAAAAAAAGGTGATGGGGCGCCTGGGTGGCTCAGTGGGTTGAGCCGCTGCCTTCGGCTCAGGTCATGATCTCAGAGTCCTGGGATCGAGCCCCGCGTCGGGCTCTCTGCTTGGCAGGGAGCCTGCTTCCCTTCCTCTCTCTCTCTGCCTGCCTCTCTGCCTGCTTGTGATCTCTCTGTCAAATAAATAAATAAAATCTTAAAAAAAAAAAAAAAAAGGTGAGAAAATTTTAAAAAAATATTTATGTTGAGGAAAATTCTGATGGAACATTTTCAACTTATAAAAATTCTAATATTAAGGTTGAGGGTCGACTAGTGGACAATTTATAAAAATTCCAAAACTAAGGCTGAGAAAGTTTCTGAGGGTCAGCTAACTGAACCACCCATTCCGTGCTAGAATCTTCCAGTACCCCATGAAAGATTTGACCAGTTTTGCTTTTCCTTCTCTGGAGAGACCTCTCTCTCCCATTAGTTTCTGCCAGTGGCCCTCTTTTTTTTTTTTTTTTTAAAGATTAATTTATTTGACAGACAGAGACACAGCAAGAGAGGGAACACAAGCAGGGGGAGAGGGAGAAGCAGGCTTCCCACTGACCAGGGAGCCCGATGTGGGGCTCAATCCCAGGACTCTGGGATCTTGACCTGAGCCCAAGGCAGACACTGAAACAACTGAGACACCCAGGCACCCCATCACCACCACCAGCAGTGGTCCTGTTGCACAGGTCATCCATTAGCATATTTGAAGATAGCATTCAAGCTCTAGGCTCTCCCTGAGTTTCTTCTCTGGGCTTTCTCTTGCCAGCTTTCCTTATCCAAACAATTTCCAAGCCATTCACTGTGTTGGCAGCTCACCACAAAATTGTCATACCCAGACGTAGCTCAGCAGTCTAAGAGTGGCAGTGGCACAAAGTAGGGCTGCACTGTTACCTTCTTTATTAGAGACCATATTTATATTAATGGGGCCTAGAATAACAGCAAGTTTTTAATTCTTTAAGACTATAAAAGACGAGTCAACCCTCGAAAACTAGGGGTGCTGGGCACCCACACAGTCAGAATCCACGTATAACTTTTGATTCCCCCAAAACTTAACTACTAATAGCCTACTGTTGACCAAAAGCCTTACCAGTAACAGTCAGTCAACACGTATTTTACACAGTATGCATACTATATACTGCATTGTTGCAATAAAAGAAGCTGGAGAAAAGAAAATGTTATTAAGAAAATCACAAGCGAAAAAT